GGGGCCGCGCCGCCCCAGGAGCCCAGGACAGCCCCCTGTCCCCGCCCCGGCCCCCTCTCCCGGCGCGGCCATGGATGTGACCAGCAGCTCGGGCGGCGGCGGCGACCCTCGGCAGATCGAGGAGACCAAGCCGCTGCTGGGGGGCGACGTGTCGGCCCCCGAGGGCACGAAGATGGGCGCCGTGCCCTGCCGCCGGGCCCTTCTGCTTTGCAACGGGATGAGGTACAAACTGCTGCAGGAGGGCGACATTCAGGTGTGTGTCATCCGGCACCCGCGGACCTTTCTCAGCAAGATCCTCACCTCGAAATTCCTGAGGCGCTGGGAGCCGCACCACCTAACGCTGGCCGACAACAGCCTGGCGTCCGCCACGGTGAGTCGCTCCGCGCGGCGGCGTCCCCACGCTCCCTGGGGGCCGAGATGCGCCCCCCGGCCGCCCCCCGGCGCTGCACCTGGAGCCCAGGGCCAGTGCGGTGGTGGGGGTGCCGGGCTAAGGGGAGGACCGGGGCACCCCGCTCGTGGCTTGCGCACGGGGCTGGATTTTGGAATCTCCAGCGCAGACCGACCGGGCCGGCTCGGGAGAGACCCTTAGGATTCCGGAGATTTGGCCCACCCCAGGCGGGGTGCTTGGGGACCTTCTGCCCCCAGCTCTTGTGTTTCTGATGGCTGGGACCCTGGGGAGACCCGGGTCTGGGCCCTAAGGATGGTGGGGGTTCCCTTTCAGAAAGCCCGTGGCCCATGTGGATCTGAGCTCGAGGAGAAAACAAAAATACAACCCGAAAAATTAAAAAAAAAAAAAAAATCAAAACCTCAAACCCCCCAAACCCAAGGCATTTCCAGAAGCCCGTTGCTTTCTTTGCTCTACCCGTCCTTTATTCTTTTTCCTGCCCGGGCTGGCAGGCAAAACTGGGTGCTTCCCTTTCTGAAAATCTCATTGCACATTGGGAGGTGGGAGGGGGCAGGGGTCCGGGATTATCTCCAGACCAAGGGGGTGGTCAGGTTCTCTGTGGAAGCTGATTTGCCTAACCCTGATCCTGCATTGTCTGTGGCGTGTGTATATGTGTGTTTTGTTGCTGGAGGTTTTATTTTGATATTGTTTTTAAAATGTACGTCTAGGACTGGGTCAGCTGGGTGAGATGGAGAGGAGAAACCATTGATCTGTTTCTGAAATCAAATCTGCAAATGGTGGCCTTTTTCTTAAGTGGAGAAAGACAGCTGTGGTGGGGTCGAGGGCGGGGGAGTGGGGGTGGCGGAGCCCGAACAGGATGCTTTGTGTTTTGAAAGGACAGTTTCAAATACCGGCTGTGGCTTGGGCCTGAGCCTTGCTGTGGGGGTCCCATCCTCTTTATAGAGGTGGCGGTCTTCCTCAGAATGCACACTCCCCCCTGGGGCAACTGTGATCCTGTTTACTAAGCACAGTGGGAGGGGGCAGAATCCAAAGCCTACTCACACCTGTGCCAAGAAAACCCAGCCAGGAAGCAGGGTGTCGTTTACATGGCATGTCTCAAACGTGTAGCATGTGTAGACATTTCCCCAGCATCCATGTTCCCTTGGCAGTGTGTCACAGGCCATGACAAATGCCCCAAGGAATGGGGAGGGGGAATAGTTAGCTGAAGAATCCTAGTCCTCCAATCAGCCCTCCACCCCCACCCCGAAGCGTTGAAGCACACGAGGACTTTTATTCTGAATTTCGAGTCCAACGTGCTTAGGGCACCTATTTTCTCTTTCCTGTGGGCACGTTGGTGCAATATCTGCAAAGACTTCTTTCCCAGAGAGGTTTGCTGGGTCCCTGCCGGAGGCAGCCCAGTCCTGGTTTCAGGCTGGTGCATGTTCTTCAGTCTGTCCCCTGCCACAGGCCTCAGCGTTTGGCTTTTCGTTTGATGGAGGCAGAGAGGGCCTCCGAAAATTGGCCAGCACAGAGTGTTTCAGATTTGGGGAGGAACTGGTGACATCTGCACCTTGCTGCCTGGGATCTGGAGCCCCCAAATCTGCTTCAGAATTTTCACCTGTCTTGGGGGGCTTTATTCTTTTTCTCTGCCACCCCTCAAAATGAAGAGGAGTTAGGGAGGAAAATGGTTGAGAGGAACGATGACCTGCCGTGGGGAGGACAGGCTAAGCTCCTGCGCCCCCCTGGGAGGAGCCAGGAGTGAGTGCCCTGATGCTGATGTCCCTGATTTGGGGGAAGCCAGCTCTGGGGGCTAAAGGCCCCTGACTTAGCTGCGATTGCTCAAGAGATATGTTCAAGAGAAGAGGGAGGAGAGGAAGACAGATAAGCAGCCAGAGGCCCCTTGCCTACCTTGGCTAGCTGAGGTGGGTGGCGCCTTCGGTAGCTTGGGCCTCTCTGTAGAGCGCCTGTGATTTCCAGTACTGGGGACTGAGGGTTATCCGTGGAACAAGGTTTGTCTTGGCAGAGCCTTGCTCCGGCATTAGAAACTGTGGCAGGAGGAACTATGAAGAAGTGTCCAATGGGCTGGTACAACCCCTTCTCCACTGTTTCTTGTCACCAAGCCCTGCAGGCAGGGGGTGTCCTTAAGTCTTGCCCTTGCTCTGAGGTGGGCTCCAGTGGGGTGCATGGCTGTCCCTGCCAGAGCCTGTGAGCGTGGAGGTGGGGCTGCTGAGAGCAGGCCCGGGGGAGTGGTGGCCTCCAGGGCAGAGGTGGGGTTGGGACCTTATCCCATCATGAGACACCTGGTTGGTGTCCAGGCTCTCCGGGAAGCAAAGGAGCCCCTGTGGGGTTTCCCTGAGGCCTGGGCATTATGTAATCTGTCTGCATTTTATAGTGCAGCCCAGGCACTCTATTGAGAAATATTAGCCCAAATGAAACAAAGGTGAATTTGAGTGCAGTGCACTACAACAGAAACCCTTTGCAGCCCTGCGGCCTTGCCAGATCCCCTTGCCCAGCCTCCAGCTGCCGATACATCACGGATGTTTTGTATAGGGTCACGTCCTTTCATGAAATGTGTATCATCCATATTTTAAACCATCTACACAGCCTAACTCAGAACCATCTGGTAATTATCCGGTTAATTGTGTGGGCTTTAGGAATAAGACTCAGAGTGATTGATCTGGATTCAAACCAATAAACAAACCAAATACACTTTTTTGCCCTAATTGTGGAGTCTCTCTACGTTGATCCAATTAACTGAATTGTGAGAGATTAAGACCAGGCTTCTACGACCACAGCTGCATCAGGCTGGGATACAAACATGTGGGGGCTCCCAGGCCCACCTGGCGGTTGGCTCCAGCTGGGCACACCCCTTCGTCTGGACCTCTCTTGGTTCCCTGCTGGGAGATCCCAAGAGGGGTCTGGGTGCTGTGTGGGCTCAGCCTGGAGGCCAGGCTCCTGACACCCCTCCAGGTGGTCATAGCCCAAGGGCCAACAGCCTCGCCCCCTGGCCTGGCTGCAAACTTTGCCTTCTGTGGGGTCAGATCCGAGCTTGCCCCTTGCCTGTCTCCTGGGCCAGTTACTGATTAAATCCTTGCAGAGCCGACAGTGTGCCTGACAGGGCTTGTGACAGCCAGCCAGGTTTGATGTGCCCTGTGCTTGGAGACTTTGGATCCGGAATGCTCATAAACAAAGGAGGAAGCGCCCAGGCGATGGTGACCTGGCTGACGTGGGAGGGAACATGGGGAGGCATTGGCTCCCTCCCTGGGGGACCCAGGACCGCACCTCTCAAGGGAAGGGCCTGCCTGCCCAGCGGTGGCCTGGAGGTGGTGCCTCATTCCCCGTTTGCCTCCACATTTCCCATTCCTGGGCCTCCTTGGGCTCTTTGTGACCATGGTGTCAGTCGAAACCAACTCTCAGGAGTTCTGCAGAAGCAGCTGGGTCCAGCAAGACCAGAATCCATTTTATAATTCTCGTCCCTGGGTTGAATTTGATCACCTGCTAGACATGTTTGTTCACTAGCAGAGGCCTTTGTCTGGGCTTTGTTTCCTCTGCACCAAAGAAGTACAAATAAGCTGCTTACCTTTTATTTCATCTTACGTTTTTTTTGTTGCTTTTTTTTTTTTTTTTTTTTAACGTGGCTCACAATATCTCAGAATGGTGGGCCCAGTCGGAAAAGTCCTTTATTCATTTACCAAACTGGGTTTGGGACACTGGTGACAGTCGCCTTCTTTATTCTCAAGCCGTAATTCATCAATGGCTTGTTTTAAAATTTTCACCATTCTGCTGCTTGACTGTAATGTTTCTGGGCATCTTGTCACAGATGGTAAAAGAGAAGGCACCTTAATTCTCTTTGGTTTCTTTAGCCTAGTGCTTTCTAGGGGATGGGGGCAGCTGTCTTCTGAACTCAGACTTTGTTTAGCAAATGCTTACTAAGCACCTACTGCGTGTCGTGCTGAGCAGAGAATTACACATCCAGATGGTGTGGTTTCTACTTGAGAATTAAAATTTGGGTCCTCTAGGGTGGTCACAGTCCCGTGGGAACTCACCCATGTGCACAAACACGTTAATTTTTTTTCCACTTTTTGTCACATATGCCCTCCTCAGTGTGCCCATCCTTCCTGCCTTTGATTTATTTGATGTTTTTCATGGCAGTTAGTAAACACAAAGAATTTTTTTTTCTTTTGATGCCATTTGTCATAGGAAAATTTGGGGGTATATCAAATTTGTTTCCTAGACAACTTGTCTGATGGGAGATGGTGGAGGGTAGGGATGGAGACAGGAGAAAAAAGTCAAAATTCTCTGTAAACAGCCAACATGGTCTGCCTCCCCCACGCTGAAATAAATAGGTGCCTTTTAAGGAGGGAGTAAGTTTTGATGCTGCCATTTGCCTGGTATAACCGAATTCCTTTTCTGGCCGTGGCAGCATTGTGCCAGTCCAGGTAGAAGGTGTTGTACTGTGCCTGCTGTATTTTCCTACTGGCCTGTGATGCAGGTGGCTGTGCTGCTGCCTTGGGCTCCTTGGCTCACAGGTGGCTTGTGTGCAGTCCATGCCTGCTCCTCAGCACCTCACCTGGCAGTGGGAGTGGGCATTTCTGGGGCACTGTCTCGGACAAGGCTGAGGGGGAGCCTGGCAGCTGTGTTGTCCTAAAAGCAAAGACTGACTCTTCCTAAGGGTACCCACTTGGTGTTCTGTTGGAATGGATATTTGAGATGGTCGACTGATGCCTATGATTAAAGAGCACAGGGCATCCCACTATGGGGCAGAATAAACTTGGATTTTGCCATCACATGGCACTGGGTCTGGATTCTGAGGTTACAACTTCCTGGCTGTGTGACTTTTGGCACATTGCTTTCCTGGCTGGGCCTTGTTTTTCCTCTATCCATAGGGTGGATAATCGTACCTCATTTATAGTGTTGCTGTGAGGATTGGAGATAATTCAGATAAGCACCTACCAGGACAGCCAACACATAGTGGGGATGTGACG